GACTCCATTGGGTAAAAAATTTCGTTTCAGTCAGTCAACAAGCATTTCCAACTAAATATATCTTACTTTAATAAATAGAAGGAAAGATACATAATGCTGCATGCCATTTGAATAGGTAACTCAATCACTTTTTTTGGTGGGGGGAGGGATCTGAAAAGATGATAGGCACCAAGAAAATTCTTTCATGACTTCTTTATTTTTCTGTATATTTATGGCATGCAAAGTGAATGTCCATATCAAATCAAATTCCCAAAGATTTATATTATCTGAATTAAGAAAAAATATTAATAGTTGTCAGAGTGCCTAGCATGAGTCTTAAAGAACTGTTATTGTTTTTTGAGTAAATGTAAATTTTTAAAAGCAAAGTTATTATTTACTCACTTGCCTTTGTATCTTTTGTATACATGTAAGAAGGTGCATGTAGTAGGTGCTTAAATAATGAATAAATGGTGAAATAAATAGGTTCATGGAAAGCAGATTTTAACAGCAGTAATCATAGAAAAATAAAAAGAACACTGGAAGTATATTCTTGAGTAATTATGTATTTTAGAACTGATCCTGAGCTGGACTAGAATTTAAACATTTAGGATAGAAGGTATAAAATGGAAGAAATCTGAGAGCTGTGGAATATATACTTAGCCAGTTTTACTGGGCATTTTATTTCTAGCCAGGAAAAATTTATCTGGGTTCTTAAATATGTCTGAAGTGAAGGCTAAAATATTTCAGAAAGTAATATATAATAATATCAAACATTTCAATAACATGAAGAAACTTTTCATTTTTTTCTCTGCTTTATTAAAATAATGGACTATATATCAGTGGTGCTTTTGAAAAAATAGAACAAAATTTCTCATGTTTGAATTTAAATGGACTCAGGCTTAAAAGTATAACCTATTTGGATTGTATTGAGGTTGGAAATTTTCAACTATTTTTGACATTTGTCAAAAGTTGTCCTGAAGATCATATGAACCATAGTTCAGTGGTCCTAACATTTTTTTCTCAAACATGTCAGGTGTCACCTCCATAAATCACAGGTCATAATATGAAATGGAAATTTATATTACATGGATCATTAGGAATAAAATAGATAACTTGTATTTTATTATTAAATGAACAAATTTTCACTGTGAGACAAAATGCCTGGTGCCATAAAGAGTTTTGTCTGCTTAACAGATGGCCCTTCTTTCTCTCTCATCTTCTAGATGAAGTCCTGGCTCCTCCTGCCCCATTTAATCACCGAATTGTGATAGCCAAACAAACAGCAGTCAACAGTTTTTATACAGTGAGCAGAACAGAAATTTTAGGAGGGTAAGTAATGCTCAATTTTAACACACTTTCAACAAAAGAAGAGACCTTGCGAAGAGACGGATCCTGAAGATTTCATAAATATTTGCCACTCTGGGCCTGAAAATCAGAAACATTACAAACATTTTAAGAGATTTTAAAGATTTCTGAAAATCATTGATGCCAGAAAGGTTGAAGTGGTGACAGCAACTAAACTTTGCATTTATGTTTTATTTCTCATTTGTAATGTCTGAAAGTGAGAGAAACCCAGTGTGTGTCTAAACCCAGAAGGTTTAGAAGCTGTCCAAAACTTGAAAAGTGAGAAACAAAATATAGAAATGAGTTAACATTGTGTATTTCTTGCTGCATGTTTGGTTTTCCATTTATGTTGTCATTGTATGGATTATTATTATCCATTTCAATCAATTATTTTCTTCACTGAAAAACGTATTTGAAGGACATCGAAATGCACAATCTCTCCCTGAAGAAAGAAGAGTAAAGTCCATCAGGAAATCATTACTGGGGATAGTCCTTCCTCTTCTACATTAGTCACATTCCCCCTATGATATCTATTTAATTTAATTTAAATTAAATTAAATTTAAAGCCTAAATTATAAAGTTTACTACCATCAACACACATACCTACATAAAATAGGAAGAGGAAAGCATAAAATTTATCCAGATATATACAAAATTTACTTAATAATACATTGAAAAACACCCATAGCTACTGTAATGCATGGTTCTGGAATTGGCAATTAGGGGTGTGGTTGATATTTGTAAAGTCCCTTCTTCCTCTCCCCTTTCCATATATCTTTTGCCCTCTGCCACACAGAACCACCTGAACTTTTTTCTTCTCAGCTGGCTGATCATGGAGAATTCCCCTTGAGACTATGAGGATGGGCTGAGAGAGAAATGGGAATTCTCATGAATAGGTACATGAATAGGTACCATGGGAGCCTGAAGTATTACTGCCTGCAGCAGCTTATTTAGGATTTCAGGGATTCAGTGACAAGGCAGCAACTTTCTCTAAAGTAAAGGAGTTATAGGCAGAAGAAGCTTTGAAACAATCCCCAGGGTTTGTGCTGTGTTTCAGGTGAAGGTCTGTCAATGATGCCTTAAAAACTTCCTTTCTAACCCTTTGGGCAGCATTGGATCTTTTTGGTCATACTGCAGTCTGGACTAGCTGCTAGTCATCCCCTGTCTGGGCTCCATTCAAAATTGGCAGCCATAACTCACTCAGTAAATAAGTTAGAGAAGCATAATCAAATGTGTGTTTTTGCTCCAAAATTCAAAGAGATCATCAACTGGTATACCTACTTTTTAGTACTAAGAGATTCCAGATGCAGCAAATTATTTTTCACTTTTGGCAGAGATACTGCAACATGTCCAGGATCACTGGATCTCGAAGAACTTGCCCGCAGTGGCAGGCCCCTAAATTTACCTGGGATTCATCTCCCAGTCTATGGCCTCTAGGCTATTTATCACCCTTACTCAACATATTCAATTAGCATGAGGTTATCAGTATGGTGGACCAGTAGAAACAGTGAGAGGTAGCCTAATTATTCAAGGCACTTACTAAATAAGTCAGTTGAGGTTGTATTGAAGTTAAACAGTGATGTGGCACTTCTGCCGGGCCCAGGCAGTTCTGGGGGCCTTTGCTAATTAAGAGAAAAAAACATTTTCTTAATTAGCAGCCACATATGAGATGTTCATGTGCTCCAGTAAAGAGATTACACCTGGAATAGTGGTTTGAATTAAAGTCATCACTTAGCTGTGTTTATGGGACCCATCTGCTTCTGCCCAGGATGCGCAGTTGAGTTGAATGCGATGTGGTGAAAGGCACTACCTGTCTCTGTTAGCTGTTGCCAAGACCCTCCCCTCTGCAGTCCTGTAGCAATGTGGTGGCCTTAGGTGCACAGTGTTTTTAGGGAAGCTTCCCTGTCCCTCTTGCCATGATAGCCATCATTGCACAGACAGGCACCTGTGTTCTATTTTACTAAATCAGGAATCAAGGCAAGCAAGTCAAATTTAAAAATTGTTCATGAGGCTGCAGTTCTGTGTGTGATTTCATTTGTCAGAAGCTGTCTTACAAAGTATATATAAATTTATGTCCAAGTTAAAGTGTCAGAAAGCTCATAGATGATTATGTAATATGTTTTCGATTATATGTGTCTATATGCAATATTGTCATTACTTTTTATTTATTTATATGCAATTTCCAAAAATAATTTCATGTGCCTGATTCACAACCTATATTGTTCACATGCTTGCAAAGCCTCACTTATTACATTCATATGTATTCACAATGCTTCTATTTTTTCTATAACAGAGGTTCTCAGATTTTAAAGCTCATATGAATTACACAAGGAATGTTGTAACATGCCAGTTCTGGGGCCTCACCCTAGATTCCTGTTTCAGTGGAGCTGGAGTAAAGCCAGGAAACATGTATTGCTTATAACCCTTCAGGTGATTCTGATGCCAGTGACCCACAGACCACACCTTGCCACTGTTGTAGAAGTTTATTAGCTATAGTAGATGCACTAATAGGTTTGCGCATTCAAACTCAAAAAGAGAAATGCCTCCGGGCAACTTCCCCATCCATTTGGCAGTGGCTGAAGCCAGGTCCTGGTGGGGACAGACGCTCATGCTGCACCTCGTCCTCTTCTTTGCTAGGGGGCGCTTTGGCCAGGTTCACAAGTGTGAAGAAAAAGCAACAGGTCTGAAGCTGGCAGCCAAGATCATTAAGACCAGAGGGACAAAGGATAAGGTAAAGGCTGTGGCGTTGCAATGTGGATCTCCTCCTGCTGTTGTCTTCACTTCATTAAGCATCTTACCTTCTTCTTAGGATGAGGCGAAGAACGAGATCACCGTCATGAACCAGCTGGATCACGTGAACCTCATTCAGCTCTACGATGCTTTTGAGTCTAAGAATGACATTATCCTGGTTATGGAGTAGTATGTGTTCCCTCCTGCCTCCTCTTCTGCTCCCCGGCAAAGCTGTGCACACACATTCAGAGAGTCCTGCACCAACCATGACCATGGAGTGCAGCTTTGCTCTGTCTCAGTAGTTGCTAGGTCCACACTTGGTGTACCGCTGATTCTGACTTGCATGTATGAGACAATCTTATCAGTTTCAGAAAGGAAATTACTTAGAAATAGACATCTCTACATATGATTTTATTAATAAGAAGTAGAATGACAACCTAGATCTAGCTTTACATTTAAACTATACTGTCAAAAATCCAGTTTAAATATTATTCTGCTTAACCTGGAGAAAAGTGGTTTTTGAACTACATTTCACTTTCAAGCTAATCACTAATACAAAGGTCATGTTGAACTCAATAATTAGAGATAAGAAACTTCCATTTAAAATCACCTTTGTAAAAATTTAATGTGGTTAGTTAGTAAGTGAGTAGTATTATGATTCAGTTCATTTTTTCCTTACTTTGGGTTTTGTTTATCATTTTTCAATAAGAAATTTCAAACACTAAATATCTAGCATCAGCCACATAGAAACACTTTTTCACTAAAGTTAATCTAAAGAGACTGTCTAACGCTCACTTGGTGTTCGGAATTCCCCTCCCCATTTTCTTGGAGTCCTCTTTATCTTTCATACATGTTAGAAAATGGCAGATGTGTTCTCTCTCCAGAGCTGTAACCGCTGAATGAAAGGGAGTTTGAGGCTTTCCATTTGTGAAATTGATGGTAGCTAAAACAAGGGCCTTCAACCTAAAAGTCATCTAACTGAGATAGCAAAGATAGAGTTAGAACTGTGTGCACACTTCTGTTGGAAGAGTTAGAGGAGCTTAAACACCAAGCTGCTGCAAGAAAAACATGTTCATTCAGGAATCATGACTAAAGACTTCATTCTTCTTCCCTCTGCAGTGTGGATGGCGGTGAGCTGTTTGACAGGATCATTGATGACAACTACAATCTCACTGAGTTTGATACTATCCTGTTTATCAAGCAGATATGTGAGGGAATACGACACATGCATCAGATGTATATTCTTCATTTAGACCTGAAGGTAGAGCATGCTTTATATCCCAACCTTCTTTCCTTATGGGGATTGGATGACCCTGTCAGATACTGTACACCACCTCAGGAAATTGATACTGTCACTAGGTACATATTCAGGAATTAATAAAAATCTAGATTCTTAACCACATTCCCCATTCCCAACTTCTGTCATCTCCTAATATTTGCACATCTCCTTCTTTAAGGACTACTATTTAGATTCTTGTAACTTGCCTGTGCGAAAGGAATCCATGTGGGAGACGGTTTCCCTAAAAGTTTAGAATTTAAATCACCATCACCACCACCATGATATTTTTGTTGTGTCTCTGTCATTATTAGGATAAGAGTAGGAGGGAAAATTTTAGCTAACTCAAAATACCCAAAATAGTAGACAAACTTTCCAGCTTTCCAAGAGTCTCCAGCATTCTTTTGACATTCTTTTAGGAAGCTCTGGACTTTAGGGATTTGTTTTTCTGTAGGCATGCTAGAGCACTGAGGAGAAACCTATGGCAGAATGAAAGACAGAGCAGCCAGCAGAGTAGCGCTAAAATGCTAAGGAGCAGAAAAGAGTGGTAGGAGTGGGGCTAGACACCACGCTGGAAATGGTGGAAAGCTTTTGTGAGCAGTAGGGAGCCAAGATGCCTTCTTTTCTTCTCTTATCTATGACTTTGATCTCTCTCCCACTATGAAGCCCCTAGGATTGTACTGTGCCTTGTTACAACCAATGAAAAACCCAACTTTGACCAATTCTAATATTGGGGCTAAAAATCATGAAATGCATCTTCTTGTGTGGCTCAATCATTTTCTCATTTCCTTGTTTGCACAGCATGGCAGTGAGATAAAATATTCTATATAACATACCAACTATTGCAAGTCAGCAGGCATTGTAGAGCTAAATAAATGTGACTTCTTTAAATAGTTTTCCATGGGCCTCTTTTCTTATAACTTGGCTTCCTTCACTGTCTTGATTTATGTGCATTGCCTCTTGCATTCACAGGGTAGGAGGAAGTAGCATATAAAATGGCAAAGTCAGAGGTTAGAAATCATTAACAAAGCTCTTGGCTATGAACTGAATTTGATAATGCATATTTTCATTGAGCATTTCATTGAGTGTAGATGTTCTACAGATATTCCTAAAGAAATTCGATTGGCAACTAGGACCTGACTTATCATAAGTCAGACAATTCCATATGTGGCTTCATAATGTTTATTGAGGACTCCTAAGGGTAATTTTAGTTATGGCTTGTATATAAAGATAATAATAAAGGCGACAGCTGGATGGGTTGTTAAGGACCAGTCATCTTTTTTAGAAAGATCCTTGGAAGGAAAAAGACCAAAAATATTAAGAGTGCTTGTCACTATGTAGAGGAGATTATAGGTGACTTAAAAATTGCCTCTTCTATATTTTTCTGTTTTACAAATCTTATTCAATAAATATGCTTTAATTTCATAATAGAAAAAATAACTTTTTGAAGTGTCCTCAAAGCTGCTTCTTTACATTCTGCAAATTTTTTATGAATAGTATTCTTTGACAACTGAACAGCTTTATACACGATTGATCAGTTATTTAAGCATGAAACCAAATTTTCTTATATAGCACCCACTTCTCTATAAATAGTTTTTACTCATAGATATTTGTTTTAAAGATATTTTAGAAAAGAACTGCCAGATATTATGCCCAACCAAATGGACTCTATTGAATATTGATAAAGAGATACTATGCCATTTTATAAAGTGTTTCTGAGTTTCTGATCTCATTTGAACCTTCTCTCTACCCAGACAGGTATGTGTGTTGTGTGTGTTTGGGGCGGGGGGCGGGCGGTTCGCGGCGGACAGCCAGGATCCCACCTAAAGGAATGAGATGTGGGATCCTGGAGATTTGACAACTCAGTGTATGCCCCCCAGTTCTCAGGGAAGAGTCCGGATTAGAGCTTGAGAATTTCAGACAATTTGTTGAAAATTTTCTCTTTTAAGAATGACCTTAACTTTAATTCAAATCTCTTATGTTTCTCTGACCTTAGTTTTTCTGTCCTAACAGATGTAAGTACACTTGTAAGACATTTTATAAACACTGAGTTGCAGTGCTATTATCTACATTTTCCCCTCTTCACCACAAAACTGTCACATTGGCAGGGCAAGGTCTTACCGGTGTCAAACTCCAAGGAAACACATAGTCCAGGGTTTAGTCATTGAGACCACACTCAGTAAAACTTTGGAATTGCAGAGAATAAAGAATGAACAGCAGAGAAAGCCTCTCTTTGACATATGACTTTCCCGTAGACTAAGCACAAAGGAAAATCTGGAGGTCAGTAGTGTTCACATAATATAGCGTAGTCAGTGTGGCTGTTTAAATGAATCAGGCCATTTCTCTTCAAACTCATAAATCCTTGGGGAAAATATTCCTCCAAGAAAGAGAAATTCATACTTAATAATTTTTTTGAGGAAGGCAGAGGTCAAGTTTGAGACAGCTTCCATCAGTGCATTTAGAAAGTACTGAAGCAGCCTCCTTTTCTTCCCTCAAGGAGGCCTCTGCCTGAATTCACACATCATGGTAAACTGCAGAACCAGGGAGAGGAACAGGAAGGATAATGCAAGGTTGGCATGGTACCCACAACCTCATCTACCACATAATTAAAGAAGAAAATACCCACACAGACAAACCAGCCCCAAAGTGAAAGGCCTGATATGTTTTCCTTGAGCATCATTGTATTTTTAGTTGTGGTTCAAGGACAATTTGAGTGAATGATGGTTGTTTTCATTGCTAATGTGTCTCTTTCTCCTGGCAGCCTGAGAATATCCTGTGTGTGAGTCGGGATTCTAAGCAAATAAAAATTATTGATTTTGGATTGGCCAGAAGGTATGCCTATTTAGACATAGGTGTATGAATGGAGTTAGGGAGCATAATGGGTGTTGTTTCTTTTCAAAGATAAATCTGATATACCCCTTGGTTTCATACCCTCATTTAAATTTGACTTAACAAAAATTATGTTTCAACTTTACATTGCTGATTTGAATATTTAGAAGTTTCTATAGTGCATGCAAGAAAAATTATGAAACATTAAAACCTAATCCAGTGAAGTTATTAAATTTGAAAACATAAATTAAAATTTGTAAGAGTTTGTCTTAGTCTTTTACATTTGTTCCACCTGTAAAGAGATTTATTTTAAAAAAATTAATAGTGTAAACAAGGTTACAAAGGGTTCTGGCACATATAAGGTTCTTAAAAAAACAAAGAGCACATTAATGATGAATATAAAATAGATGTTGTCAATCATTGCATTTTATTTAGTTATTAGCATGGGCTTATTCCACTACATGTCAAGGATTGTGTCAGTTTTTCTTTTGTCATATACTGTAATTTAGATGTTCTAATTATCCTGAGCATCTTTCCTCACAACTGTTTTAGATTATTAAGGTTTTACTGTATGAATTATGACTTAAAACTCCTAGAACTTCTTCACAAGTGTTTGACGCTTTGTCTTAAATATGTAATTTCCTTTAAAGTCTATTTATTTTAAATTTGCCGCATGGCTGAAGTTATTTTGTCTTGTAGACTGCATTTTTCCAATTTCCATGATTTTTGATTGACATTCTCTATCCCTTCACTTGTCTCCTAAATTTCAGATACAAACCCAGAGAGAAGCTGAAGGTGAACTTTGGAACCCCAGAATTTCTTGCCCCTGAAGTTGTGAACTATGATTTTGTTTCCTTTCCCACTGACATGTGGAGTGTAGGGGTAATTACCTATATGCTGTAAGCAGATCTCCAGTCTCTCTGACACTTATTCTCAATTGTCATGCATATTCTAAGAAATTTTGTTATTTTGAATAAAAGCCCTGATTTAGGTCTTTCAAGAATAACATCATACCTATAGGCTTTGGTGAATCCTATAGGTGAAAGGAATAGATTCTTTCCCTGCACATCATCTGAAAAAGTAAATGTATGCCTTCTTCACTAATCACTTTAACTCCTAGGACACCACCCAATGCCTTAAAAGTAAAACAAACAAACAAACAAACAAACCCTTGTGTCTTGATCTTCTAAATGACTAATGTTAGTCTTATTCCCTAGAGGCAACATTCCTTATGTTTGCCATCTGAGTGTATGACAGACTTTATTAGCTGTAAATGCATTAAAAGGAAGTTGTACTGGTCTTTGAGATTCATATTCAAGTGTAGATGCTGCCTTCATTGTTGCAGTTGTTTAATTAGGAGTTGGGGTGGGGGAAGTAAGCATCTCTTTCATTGTAAAAATTTTTATAAAATTATGTTTAATTATTAGTTTATTTGCTTTCTTTCAGTTTTAAATGACAGAACTGAAAAAGAAACCTGTCTGTAAAGGGTTTGAAGCTCTTTAAAAAATACTCACTCTGGACCATGTGTCTTATAGACTTAGTGGTTTGTCCCCTTTCCTGGGCGATAACGATGCTGAGACCCTGAACAACATCCTGGCCTGCAGGTGGGACTTAGAGGAGGAAGAATTGAAGGACATCTCAGAGGAGGCCAAGGAGTTCATCTCCAAACTTCTGATTAAGGAGAAGAGGTAACCCAAGTTCTTTGTGGGCTCTAGAAAAAGTAGGGATAATAGTAAAGCAGTAGTATACCACCAGGGTTATCAGAACTCATGTCAGATAACAACTGAATTCCTTTAGTGAAATCTCTGATGCCTGTGCAAAGTTGTAAATAGGATGAATCTGATGCTCTTGACCCAGTTTACTGATGTCTGGGGCTCCTTTTGTCATGAGCCTTGAATGGGGCTGCAAAAACTTTCCACTGTCTGCCTTTTGCAATAAGGCTCTCGCAATTAAAGACTCTTGCCGGGTCTCAGTGGACTCACCCTCTGAAGGGTTTGAGATGAGTTATTTCCATGATGCCTTTCACATCTACAAAGTACATATATAGCTCTATGTAACTGAACATTTAACTATCATTTTATTTGAGAACTTACAATGGGCCAGACTATGCTAAGTGCTTTATAGACATTTCCTCTTTCAACCCTCACCCAATTTCATAAGGTGGAAATTATCATTACTATTTTATAGATGAGACTTCAAGCAGTTTGCCCAAGATCACACAGCTAGTAAATGGTAGAATTTATATTCACATGCAAGCTGACCTTCCCCCAAGGCCATGTACTTAACTGTTATACATTACATGGCCTTCTAATTTCTATCATGCTAAAACCACATAATTCAAAATTTGGTGGATAAAGAAGATCGATGTTGAAATATAGGGGAAATACATTGCCATTAATCTGTCAAACACACGGTTTCAGATGATGTTACATCTAAAACATATTATAGTAGATGGTATTTAAGATTCTCAGGCCAACAATACTTGCTTTATTGTTTTGTTATCTTTGTGGCTTTTAAGTTATTAATAAATATGACTATGAACCAATATTCAGTGGGGTGCAGTGGAATGGGGTGGTAAAGAAACAACAAGGATAATGGGTCTGGTGCAGTGCCTGACACACAGGAGGCTCTTTAGGTAACTCATGATCTAATAAAAAAGATAAGTATTTTTAAAAAGATATGATATAATGTGGTTAATGCAAAAAATAGAGTATGTTGACAAAGGCCAGAAGAGAGAAAGGGCAATAAACAGACATTGGTTTTATCTTTAATGGAAAGGCACACAACTGATGTTACTATTATTTTTATTTATACAATACTGAATGCCAGGCAGTGAACAAATGGAAAATGTCAACTCTATCAAATCTTCAGTGGATGAGAATAAACATTTATTGAGAATCTATTTTACAGAAACATTAGGTCCTCACTTAATATTATTGATAAGTTCTTGGAAACTGCAACTTTAAACAAAAGGACATATAATGAAACCAGTTTTACTACAGACTAATTGATATAAATAAAATGGCATTTTTCTGGTCACGAAAACATCAGCAAACTTCTAGATAATGACCCAAAGTACCAAAAATAAAGGTGAGCTATACATACATTAACAAAGACTAATAAAAACAGACAGAGTAATGAATGATTTTCCATCCCACTTATTCCAGTCCAAGGTTGAGGGTGGCCGCAGCCCATCCCAGCAGCTCAGGGCACAGGTGGGACCCGCCCTTCCATCTCAGGGTCACTCACATACAGCCACACTCACACAGACTGGAACAATTTAGACATACCAGTTTACCTCAGGTGTACATTTCTGGGATGTGAGAGGAAACTGGAGTCCCCAGAGGAAACTCATGGAGACATGGGAAGAGTGCACACTCCATATAGAGAATGGCCCTGGTGGAATCAATATTTTTCTCATCAGCGTTATAAGAAAATGACGTTAAACAAAATGACGTTATTCAAGGAGCTGTTGTATACTTTGTATTATCTGATTTAATCGTCTGGATATCCTGTTGCATGTGGATATTATCACCACTATTTTACAGATGAGGACATTGAGGCTGAGAACAGTGAAGCAGTCACACAGCTCCTCAGGGCAGATTCAGATCCAGGCCATTGGACTCCAGCCCCCATGTCCTGCCCACTCCTTCAGTTTGAGGGTTTCATTAATATCTAAGGAGCAACAAATACACACGTGGGTGAAATGATAACTGGCTCAGTATTTGAGTCAATACTTGATTAAACTAAGACCAATGCCAAATACCACTATCATAGAATAAAAATTCTCTCGATACTTATATTAACTTTCCATGTATTTCTCTATCTAACTCTTCAAAACATCTTAATTCAAAAGTTAATAATACATTTTATTCAACAGTTTTAATACATATATCACTTTTGCAATCATCAAAATCAATGTAGCACTTTGTTCTTATAATAATAAACATACATTTATTCTTCAATTGACTGATAGAAATTCAATTTACACATTTACATTATGAATGGTTACGTATATTTGAAAGTAAATGTTCGGTTACTAATAAAAATTTTGAATTTTTTGCCTTTCTTTGTCTTAGCCATGTTGTTACCCTGATTGGATTAGATGGTAACCCACACAACACTGATAACTATTCCAGAGAAGGTGGAATTGACTGTGAATTTGACATTTGGCATCTGGTCTTCCAAAGGCAGTGGCCAGAGCTGAGGCTGACTGGCAGATGCAGGCTTCGTTTGGTGCGTTCCCACTAATAACCTTCTGAATTTCCCTTTAGTTGGAGAATAAGTGCAAGTGAAGCTCTCAAACACCCTTGGTTGTCAGACCACAAGCTCCACTCCAGACTTAATGCACAGGTAATGAAGGCTCTTTGTTTTTCCTCTTCTAGTTGGCTTCAGTCTTTTGATGATCAGATGCTAGAGGTGTCTTAGCCTTAGGTGAGGTTCCTTCTTATTCCTTTTCTTGCAACCTTCAAATCTTGTGCTAGTGTTAAATTGCTTAAAATACTTTTATTGAGCAGTTTGTATTTTTAAAATAAATGTTAATTATGTTATCATATTTATTATTAAATCATTATATCCATTATAAACTATACTATGTTCACATACTTAAGCATATAGCCTAAATATATAAACATATAAAATTTGGAAGAATGTATGCTAATGTACATTATGCCCCCTTAAAACAGAACTTAGAATTCTAACTTCTATGCTTACCTGGGTTAGTCTGCTCTGGGCACCAAAATTCATAACACTCAGGTCGATCCTGATATTAATATATGTATATGTGAAGGATACTCTTTCTAAGACTAAATGAACATGATGTTCATTGATCCTGATATTAATATATGTATACGTGAAGGATACTCTTTCTAGAGACTAAATGAAGTGTTTATTGAGAATAATTGAGCCCACACTCTGCAATAACTTCTTACAATAAATTCCCTAACTACTCTCATTGCCTTAATTATCATTTATATTATGACTTCCACATCTGTCCCTTCAGCACAGATTTCTTTCCTAAACTTCAGGTACATATATCCACTTGTGTATTGGACATTTCCACTTGGATCTTCTCAGTCCTAAACTAAACTCATCTCCCCAACAACCTCACCTCATTCTCAACCATGCTCCCAGAACAAACCACTCGATGGCTAAACCAGACCTCAGGACATCTTCTTTGTTTCCTTTCTCCCTCAACCTGCCCCTCCCCCCCATCTCACATTTAATTTATTTCCAAGTTCTGTACATTATTTTCCCTTATTACTTCTGGAATCTGTCCATCTTCTCCATCCTCATGGTTATCTTGGAACCCATTCACCTGAATTACCACAATAACCTCCTCTACACTATCTCCATCCAAATCACTGTTGATTATACAAAAGACACAGAAGTAGATGTACAACAAATAAGCAACTTTACTAAACATTTATAATGTTCAACTGGGCAAGATATATATAGAAGCAATCTATGCCTTCAGGTGTTATTGAGGGTTGATCTTACATGAGCATCAGTTAAGATGGTCTCTGTCAAGCGCTGGCGTAGAAAGTGAGTTTGATACACTTTTATTTCCTCCATCTCTGCTCCTCATCCTGCCCATTCTCTGGGGTTTTGGAATGGAGCTTTTCCACTGACCAGTAAACCTTGGAATGACTATGCTTTCAGGTACTCATTTTTTCCACATTCAGTTTTTATTGAAATTAACTTTGCTTCTAAATTCGGCATCCGTACTAAGTTTTATTTGTGTCTGAATATACCTTTCCTTGATAATTAGTACTGATGTCAAGTAAAAATAGACTTATTACCTAGTCAGTACCTAACCCAGACTACATAAACTGCTTATTAGGGTTACCAACCTATTTTGGGTCAGTTTTCCACCAATGTATTTTTATCCAAGCTTATTGATGTCTAAATACACTTTGACATGTAGGACAATATAGAAACCACAGCAGATAATTAATGACATTATACAGTTTAGAAAATGTTTAAAAATATTTTAACAACCATGTAACAACAACAAAAATTACCTTTCTGTTATTCTATCCAACTACCAGCACCTAAGGTAAATAGATGTTTCAAGAATGGTGAGGATTTTTAAAAAATTTATTGTATACATCTTGTTAGTTACCATGAAAGTTATAATTATTTGCCACTGTTCTAGGCACTGTTCTAACTACTATACAAATATTAACTCATTTAATCCTCATACCAATCCTCAGAAACAAGCACCATTATTATCCTCATTATGTAGATGAGGAAACTGAGGACAAGGGTTAAGTACTTGTACAGGATCTCATGAGGAGCAAGTGATGGAGCCAGCATCGCAGACCAGGAAGGCAGGCTCTGGAGTTTGGTCAGAGCCTCACCTTTATGCAGCAGGATAGCAGAACGGTGAAGCTCTGAACGGTGAAGCTCTGAACGGTGAAGCTCAAAGGAGACCTGATGTTTCCAGAATGATTCATGTACCATACAGTTTTGGTATTATTGAAAGCCAATATTCAAGCTTAATATGTTTTATTTTTCAATGAAATAGTGAAACTATATTTTTTCAGAAAATTTATTTTTGGAAAAGTCTTGGTTTTCATATGTTCTATAAAATGATAATTTAACTTTATGTTGAAAATTTAACTTTTATCCAAAACTATTTACTATTTAAATCTTAATTCTATTTTTGTCATTTATAAACTTTTATTTATCTCTTTTAATTGCTTCATGCTTAAAAGCACTTGTTGCTTCTTAACCACTTAGCATGCTTCTATTTAGTCACTTAATTTAAGAATATTCTTTTCTTAAAAATTAAGGTCTTGAAGTTCTCTGCCTTCTATATTAAGCTCAAGGCAACATGCTGTGGTTCTCAGCTTTTCCTATGACCCCAACCATTCACACACAATCCATCTTTCATTAGACACAGCTCTCAACTGGGGTAGAACAAAGTATTCTCAAACTACAAATCTATTAGAACCCTGCAAGCACCTACCACAGACTTAATAAATGCTTTGAGGCTGAAGGAAGGGAAACTAAACAAATATGATGAGGTTTCTTTTCTCCCACAGTTTCTACCTTTTCTTCTCATTTCCAGCACTACTCCCTTAGCTCATGCCCTTCTTTCAATTTACTGCACTAATAAAATAACTTACAAGCTGACATTCACCAAATAGTAATTTCTTTAATTATAACTGATCATATTTCTTGATCAAATAGTCTTCAATACTTTGATCAAACAGTCTTCAAGTGTCCCCCATTGCCCACACCAAACCCATCCAGCAGTCCAGGCCTGCTCCAATACATCCCGATGTTGGTTTTTAGTCTTGTTCTCCGCTACTCTTTCTAGATCAGCCCAAATCATAAAGATTATCTAAGAGCTATTTTAAATGCAACTCCTTTAAGATGGCTCTTCTCAGTCCCCAAACTGGAGGTACTTTCTCTGTCTTCTTGAGCCTCACTTGTGGCACTTAAATAACTCTTGTGTACTAGATTTGAAAACTTTGGAAGAGGCAGTTTCTGTATCTGGCTCATCTTTGTAGTTTACTGCAGCCCCAATTTCAGTCTTGATTCTCGTGCTTTATCTAAGTGAATTATGTCAAAGGAAGTTTGACAAAACACACATGTGTAATATTTAAGTGCCTGACTCTGAGGGGAAAAGTTGTAATGACAGGCGTGCTAGAGAAGAGTGGGGAGCATGTCTAAGGTGGACTCTTAAGGCGGGTCAGTGTTCCTGTCATTAGCAATTAGGCTTCAAGAACTTCTCTTGAAGAACATTTTCTACTCAGTAGCAAGTTATTGACTCAAGTGTTTTCATCAGTCAGGAACTGATGAAAAAGTTCTAATCCTTCCCAAAATGTCTCCTGGTTTTCCTAGAAGAAGGATTGCTGCTCTGATGGTCAGGACCTTGTGACCAAATAATCTACGGAAGATGCCCATTTGAAAGGTTGGTCTCTGGTCTTTTCCTAAAGAGGTGTTTGTGTAAGTCTTAAAATAAAGGATCAAGAAGGAAATTGAATGCTTGTTGCACTGACTATGTGGGAAGTGGGGCAGTGTTTTGACTGAGGGGGAGGGCCCCAAAATCAGACTGCTGTACTTGCACCCTGACTCTGCTATTTTCTCGTAGAGAAACTTTAGTTTCCAGATTTGTGGGTTGAGGAATAGTTTTACTTCCTAAACTTTTGAGTGGCTCCAATGAGATAACCCAAGCAAAGCCCTTAGACCAGGGCCTAGCACATAGTAGGTGCTCAATAGGTACCGGTAACTGAACAGAAACTGTCTCTGGTAGTCCTTACAACAATTGTGTTGGACTAGAGGAAGTAATATCTTTTTCTTTCTTTCTTTTTTTATATAGGTAGGGAAACCAAGTCTCAGAGACTCAGAGACTAAATAACTCACCCAAAGTCTTACTGCTAGTCAATGGTAGAGTGTAATTCTCTCAGGTATCTCTGAATCCAAAGCCCCCTTTTTTTTCTCCGCTGAGCTACCTCCTGCTCTTGGCCCATTCTTGGACCCCAAGGACCTACCACTTCATACAAAGCCTCTACTCTGCTTAGAATTTTGTTGGAATTTTTGAGAGATAGTTTTACACAAGAATATCTTCTATTATATCAGTAAGCTAGCCAACTTTATGCTCTAAAGGAGAAACCTAAAAAAATGTACTTATTTTAGAGGACTTTTAGAAATTCCAACATTTATATCCTTGTTGGGGGGCCATTCACCCTCCAGCAAGACAGCTCCCTAATCTTGGGTGATAAGTCCATGGCCATTTTTGCAGCTCAATTTTAACAACTACATAGGATTTATGACTTATGTAAACCTGCATTCTTGCTGCCCACTGGTCTCAAACTTCTGATTTGTATTTATTGGTCCTGAGGTTTTTGTTTGTCTATTTGACTATTTATATCCCCGTAAGCTGCCTTGAATCTTTTGTTGAATGATATTAAGTAGAAATAAATCAATAAATCATAATAAAAGTCATGAACCTGTGTTAGAAAGACATTTGGCCTCTGGTGTAAGGGTCACTAACTTATGAGTCTATCACTTACTAGAAATCTA